TAGTGCCAGCTACCGGTGAGAGAATCACTTGAGCTCAGGAGTTTGAGGCTGCAGTGAGCTATGATTGCACCACTGCACTCCAGCCTGAGCATTAGCAAGGCTCTGTTTCTTAAAACAAAAAAAAAAAAAAAAAAAAGAGAGAGAGAGAGAAAGAGAGTGCAGACAATTGCTGGAGTGTGCACCAGTGAGGACGTTTATGGGTATTCTCTGTGTGTGCTGATGAGGGTTTATGAAGGAGGCAGCTCTTGTCCACTGCTCCAGAACTCAGCTGGGTGGCCTAAAATTGTAGAGCTCACTTGTACTTTGTCATCTGAGTTAATTTACATCTATGATAGGACTGATTCTCCTTTAGGTGTGGTGTACAACCTGAATGCCAGTATGGGTGACTCTGTCACTCTTGGTGCCTAGGCTCTAGAGGTTTCAAACTGCTTGCAATGGTTACAGCAAAAAAGGAGTAAAAGAAAAAATATATAAGGATAGAGTGTAGATAAATAAAGATATTTTGGCTTACAGAGGAATTAAACAGAAAGAGTGAGGGGAGAAAAGAAGACAGAGAATGCAAAGGGGAGAGAAAAGAAACGTAAGAGGAAGTAGTGCTAATGTGATTAGGTTTTCAACAAATACCTCAAAAGTCATATTTCCTTTATAAAAATTATATGTCAAAAATTAAATACATATATCTTGAGTGCCTCCTGTATATAATCCAAAGGTGAATGAGATACTATCTTTATTCTCTTTAGAAAGACATCACTCTAATATAGGAAGTGGTCACTTTTGTTAACCACAGTCTGAACTTTTCCCCCAAGAATCAAACACATGAACTATATAGATGGGTTTTTATTCATTGGAGAGGGCAATGCAAGACTTGGCATAGGATATATGAGTTTTTTTAAGCACATCATCATTTTCATTCTCTGCTTTGATCAAAAGTTGTTTTTACCTCTTGCCCTCTTTGTTAACTCTCAACAATATGGACAATTCTCAACACAACTAGATACTAGATGGCTTGTTTTCAGGGAATAAGATTAAACTAACTAATTTTTCCACATTTTGATGCTGTCTGTAAAATGATGGCCTTTATATTTTAGCTCCTTCATAGGAAATAAACTTGAATAGATCTTTACTTTTTTATTTTGAAAAAAAAAAAAAAGCCTTACAGAACAATTGCGAAGATAGTACAGAGAACTCCTACACACTCATCACCCGGCTTCCCCCACAGCTAACACATCTCACATAACCATGGTACAATGATCAAAACTAAGAAATTAACCTCAGCATAATACCACTAACTAAATTATAGACCTTATCAGATTTCGCCAGCTTCTTCACCAATATTTTTTTTTCAGCTCCAGGATCCATTCTAGCAATCTACATTGTACATCATTTTCATGTCTCCTTAAACTTCCCTCCAATCTGTTCATCAGGGTTATGGATTGAATTGTGTTTACTTACATCCAATTCATATGTGGAAGTCCTACCCTCCAGTGCCTCAGAATGTGACCTTAATTGGAGATACTATCTTTATACAGGTAATCAAGTTAAAACGATATCAATAGAGTGGTAATCCAATACTAATCCAATATGACTGGTATCCTCATAAAAAGGGGAAATTTGTACAAAGACATGAATGAAGATGATGTGAAGACAAGGAGATGATGGCCATCTACAAGCCCGAGGGAGAGAGGCCAGGAGCAGATCCTCCCCTCACAGTTCTCACAAGGAACGAGCCCTGCAGCCCCTTAATTTTGGGCTTCTGGACTCCAGAACTGTGAGACAAGAAATTTCTGTTGTTTAAGTCACTCGATTTGTGATAGTTGGTTATGGCAGCCCTAGCAAACAAATACACTCAGTTCTTCTTTGTCTTTCCTGACCTTGACACTTTCGAAGAGTGGTACCTTGTAGAATGTCCCTGAATTTGGGTATGCCTGATATTGTCTCATGGCTAAACTAGGGTTATGGATTTGGGAGGAATATCAGAGGTGACGTGCCTTTCTTAGTGCCTCATATCCAGTGGCATGCAATATAGATATGTCCCCATACTGGAATGCTATCCTTGATTCCTGGTTAAGATGATGTCTAGCAGGTGTCTACATTGCAAACTTACTATTTTTTTTTCATTTTTAGTTAACAAATATGTTAGGGGGGACACTTTGAGGCTATTAAAATATCCCATCTCTACCTAAACTTTTACCCACTAATTTAAGCATTAACTTGTTGGTCATGTCTGCAGCAATTACTCCTATGTTTGTTTGTTTATTTATTTATTTATTTTAGAGACAGAGTCTCACTCTGTTGCCCAGGCTGGAGTGCAGTGGTGCGATCATAGCTCACTACACCCTTGACTTCCTGGGCTCCTGCCTCAGCCTCCTGAGTAATGGGGATTACAGGAGCATGTCACTGTGCCTGTCTAATTTTTAATGTTTTTCTAGAGTCAGTGTCTTGCCACGTTGCCCAGGCTGGTCTTGAATTTCCTGGGTCTCAAGCAATCTTCCCACTGCGGCTTTCCAAAGCACTGGCCAAAATTGTATATATTTATGGTGTACAACGTGATATTTGGAAATATGTATATATTGAACAATGGGTAAATCAAGCTAAATCTATTCTCTTAAGCAAATTTCAAGTAAACAATATGTAATTATTAACAGTAGTTACCATAATATATAATACAATAGATCTCTTGAACTTGTTTCACCTGTCTAACTGACATTTCATATCCTTTGAACAGTATCTCCCTAATCCCTCTAACCCTCCCAACCCTCTAGCTGCTGGTAACCACTACTCTACTCACCTATGAAATCTGATTTTTCGGATTCCACGTATAAATGAGATCATATGGTATTTATCTTTCTGGACCTGGCTTATTTCACTTCATATAACGTCTCCCAGGGTTATCCATATTGTCACAAATGACAAGAGTTTCTTCTTTTTAAAGACCACTTTTTCCCTTTTTAATAGGCTTAGATGCAATTATAGATTATAGATCTAGGTTATATAATTATGTAGATACTGATATAATTCACATATCATACAAGTTTACCCATGTAAGGTATACAGTTCAATGGTTTTTGGCTTATTACATTTTTTTTTAAACTCATAGTTATATATAACATTAAATTTGCTATTTTACCATTTTAAATGCACAATTCAGTGGGATTAATTACATTCACAAGGTTGTATAACCATCACCATTTTCAAAACTGTTTCATCACCCCAAACAGAAACTGGTAAACAATAACTCTGTAACTGATAAGCAATAACTCTCCATTCTTCTGTCCTCCCATTTCCTGTAAATCTTTAATCTACTTCTGTCTCTGAATTTGTATATTCTAGATATTTCACACAAGGAGAGTCATACAATATATATCCTGTTGTGTCTGGCTTATTTCACCTAGAATAACATGTTCAAGGTTCATCCGTACTGTAGTAAGTATCAGAAGTTCGTTTCTTTTTGAGGCAGAATAATATTCCATTGTTTGGTTGGACCACTTTTTGTCTATTCATTCATCTTTCGATGGACACTTGAGTCGTTTCCAGCTTTTGACTGTTGTAAATAATGCCACAGTGTACACTGGTGTACAGATATCTATTCAAGTCCCTGTTTCCATTTTTTTGTGTGTATGTATACCTAGGAGTGGAATTGCTGGGTCATATATTAATTCTCTGTTAGCTTTTTGAGAAACTGCCAAACTGTTTTCCATAGTGGCTGCACCATTTTACATTCCCATCAGAAATGTATGATGGTTCCAATTCTCCACACTTTTGTCAACACTTATTCCCTCCCACCCCTGCCATTTTTAAAACAATAGTCATCCTTAGTGGTATCTAAGTGGTATTGTCAGTGATATGGTATCTCTTTGCAGTTCTGATTTGCATTTTTCTCTTGACTAATGATATTAAACATCTTTTCCTGTGCTTATTGGCCATTTGTCTATCTTCTTTGTAGAAATGTCTATTCAAGCTCTTGCCCATTTTTAAATTGCATTGCTTGTCTTTTTGTTATTGAGTTGTAGAATGTATTTATATAGTTTGGATATTAAACCTTTATAAAATACATGATTTGTAAATATTTTCTCCCATTTTGTAGGTTTTTCACTTTTTTGATAACGTCCTTTGATGCAAAAAGATTTTCATTTTAATAAAGTCCAATTTATCTTTTTTTTTTTTTGGCTCATGCTTTTGATGTCACAAAATCCCATTGCCAAATGCAAGGTCCTATAGATTTACCTCTATGTTTTGTTCTTGCTTTATGTTTTTAGTTAATTTTTGTATATAGTGTGAAGTAGGGGTCCAGCTTAATTCTTTTATATGTACACATACAGTCATCCCAGGACAATTTGTTGAAAAGATTATTCTTTCTCTTTTGAATGGACTTGGCACCCTTGTCAAAAATCAGTTGACCATAAATGTATGAGTTTATTTCTGAACTCTCAATTCTATTTCATTGGTTTATAGGTTTGTCCTTATATAGGTACCACACTGTTTTGATTACTATAGCTTTAATAATAAGTTTTGAAATCAAGAAGTGTGAGTTCTCCAACTTTGTACTTTTTTTTCTTGTACTTTTTCTTTATCTATTTGGGACCCCATGAAATTCCATATGAATTTGGAGGATCAACTTTTCCATTTCTGCAACAAAGGCTATTGGAAATTTGATGGGAATTGCATAGAATCTGCAGATCACTTTTAGTAGTATTGACATCTTGATGATATTAAGTCTTCTTATCCATGAACACAAGGTCTTTTTCCACATACTTAGGTCTTTTAGGGTTTTTCTTCACACTCTTTAGGAGAATACTAATTTAGTCAAAACCACACAGCTCCTTCCAAAGTTACCAAGGATCACGTTGGCAAGAAGTCTTGAATGTTGAATGATTACATTAAAATATATTTCACTGCAATTCACAAGCATTACTTTATTTTTATTTAAATTATAGTAATCACTGATGAAGGGAAAAACAAAATTATGACAATCAGTATTTACTTGGGAAACCATTTTCATAGGTCACTGATGAAGGAATGTGGTACACAGCTTCAGAGTGGCAAGGGACATAGGGACAAGCACACAAGATTGAAAGCATAAAAGCATATTCTCATAAGGACCAAACAATCCTTATTGTTGGAAGACCAAATGGAATCATCGTTAATGTATGTAGAATCAAAGTTCACAATCTGTAAGTCCTTCTTCAGATATGCATGATTCAGCTTATTTACCGTTCGAGCAAAGGCATATTTAGAAGCACAGCTATATGCTTCCAAACTGTACACTTTCTTGAAGTGCAGATCAAAAAATGGATTGTCCTGGAAGAGAATGAGAGACATGATTTAGTTTGTAGCCAAGAAAGTAGCTAGGTTTCCTGGATTCTCTCACATTCTCTTGGATATGTTTATTGATTGTAAAGTATCAGTATCAAACATATTTCTAAAATCTACAAATGGGCTTTCCAAAGCTACTTACTTCAAAGTAATTGCTTCTAAAAATCAACAATAAGAAAGGTTATTTTTGAAGCATCTATGTTTTTTCAAGTATACAAATAAAATGTGCCTCAGGCTGTGTGGTTATTAAGTCTTCTCAATGTAATGAATTGGAGAGGATGAGTAGGGAATAAATAAAGCAGAGAATAAACTCACAGACTTCTGGAAAATAGAAAAGGTTTCTCTCCCTTTTTAGTAGGAGGTTGGTTCCTTGTGCTATTTCAAAGGTAGAAGGAAGAAATACACAATAGCTAGCTATTGGCATGCTATAGATCACCAATTTTCTGTCTTTGAAGTTTTACAGCAAGGAATTACTTTTGAAAGTAATAGTAAGGACCATTGAATCATTCGACTGAAACTGACAAATTTACTAAAGACTGCCTCTGGGCTCTTGCTATATCTGTAGCAGAAATATTTCAAGAAAAAGTGGAAACCAAACCTGATCTAGGTCCTACATGTTAAAATAATAACTGCTACTGTTAATAGCAGTAACAACGATGCCTTGCATTTATAAAGTTTACAAAATGCTTTCACATTCATTATCTGCCTAATTCCTAACTCTCCTTTAAGACAGAGATTTTGCATTATTTATCATCATGTTCTTAGTACTTATGCATGATGACTACTAATTTCTCAACAAGTATGTGTTGAACTGACCTGAAGTAGTCCTAAGAAAGGAGAAGTGGAGGCAAACATTGCCCCAAATAACAAATAGGCAGAGAAGGACTAAACCAAACCATAGTACTAATAATTCACCGTCATGTAGTATGTAACATCATATACAAGCAACTTACATATTTGCAATTTGATTTTTAAATAGGAAAATTCTTGCAGGAGGTAGTAAATAGAGCGTGAATTTTAAAGTTAGACAACTATTTTGACTGTTCCATGGGCAAAATGCTTGTTTGATCTGACTCTCATTTTTCTCCTTATTTTAGATAGTGCTGTTGTGAAATTTACATGAGAATGATCATATAAACGAGTGTGGAGCTTAATAAATGATAGTTCCTAAAGATTGTGATATTACCATTTAAAAAAGTTAAAAACAAAACATAATCATGCTTTTACTTCTGCATAGCAAAAGAAATAATCAGCAGAACAAACAGACAACCCACAGAGTGGGAGAAAATCTTTGCAATGTATACATCCCACGAAGGACTAATATCCAGAATCTACAACGAACTCAAACAAATCATCAAGAAAAAAACAAACAATTCCATCAAAAAGTGGGCAAAGGATATAAATAGGCAATTCTCAAAAGAAGATATACAAATGGCCAATAAACATGAAAAAATGTTCAATATCACTAATGATCAGAGGAATGCAAATAAAAACCACAATGTGATACCACCTTACTCCTGCTAGAATGACCATAATCAAAAAATCAAAAAATAATAGATGTTGGCATGGATGTGGTGAAAAGGGAACACTTTTACACTGCTGGTGGGAATGTAAACTAGTACAACCACTATGGAAAAGAAGGGGGCGATTCCTTAAAGAACTAAAAGTAGAACTACCATTTGATCTAGCAGTCCCACTCCTGGGTTTCTACCCAGATGGAAAGAAGTCGTTATATGAAAAAGATACTTATACATGAATGTTTATAGCAGCACAATTTGCAATTGCAAAAATATGGAACCAGCCCAAATGCCCATCAATCAACCAGTGGATAAAGAAATAATTATATATATATAATTAATATTTTTTTTATATATATATATATATAGACATACCGTGGAATACTACTCAGCCATAAAAGGAAAGAAATAATGTAATTTACAGCAACCTGGATGGAATTGGAGACCATTATTCTAAGAGAAGTAACTCAGGAATGGAAAACCAAACATCGTATATTCTCACTCATAAGTGGGAGCTAAGTTATGAGTATGCAAAAGCATAAGAATGACACAATGGACTTTGGGGACTCAGGGAAAAAGGGTGGGAGGAGCGGTGAGGGATAAAAGACTACACACTGTGTATAGTTACACTGCTTGGGTGATGGGTGCATCAAAATCTCAGAAATCACCACTAAAGAACTTATTCATGTAACCAGATACCACCTACTTCTCAAAAACCTATTGAAATAAAAAGAAATAAATAAAATAAAAATTAAAAAACCATAATCATGCTTAAAAAACAATGTATAAAGGTGGTGTGATTTTAAGTGCAGCACTTTTATAGTCACATTCAAAAAAAATTTTTTTTTCTGGTGCTCATAACTACAGCTTGAAAGACAATTCTGCCAAGAATCTCCATAAAGAGAAATCACATCCATTGCATCACCAGATACCAATCAAGCTCCTTAGGGAGTTTTCTCTTGCAAACATTTGCTCCTCATCAGATAGAAAATACCCCTCATGCCTTTGAGATACTTGCAGAAGAGTAATATTTTCCTTTAGCCTAATAATTGGAGCCTGAGTATGCATGCACATAGGATACAAATCTGCCTGTCTCTGTCTCTCTCTCTTTTGATAGAATGCTAGAACTAAAAGGGATCTCAGGAATCATTTATTGATCTCCTGTTTTTAGCTGGGATTACACAGTAGTTTCCAGAGATATGAAGTCCAGGTCACACATTTAGTTATTGGCAGAGCCAGGACAAAACCCAAGCTCTCAATCAGCACAAGCTCAGTTTTTGCTACATCATCCTGTCTACTGCTGCACCAGTCAGTCTCCAAATCCCCAGTCATTTTGATTTCTGCTTTATAAATTGACTTCAATTTCAATTCCATTCTATTTTAAAGTTGACAACTTTTTGGCTCAAAATTGCTCTCTATAAAACTGTATCATTGCTACTGATATGTAAATGTAATAATGTAAATAATGTAATAATGTAAATAATGTAAATTTATTATAAATTAAATGCAATCATGTAAGTGTAAAAAATGTAATAAATGCTGACCCCCAAGGATTTGATTCCAAAAAAGAGAAATAGAAATTCCTAGAACAGTCAGAATATTTTTACTTCATCCATAGAAAATAAATCTGGCAAAGAACTATTCTTTGGATATTATGGTTTTTCTTCTGGCAATTTAATATTTTAAGTCCTAAAGTGATGAGAAAACCAGAAATACTCAGCTTATCTTTTGTATCTTGTTTACTATGAAAGATAATGATCTTCAAATTGGAAAGGGAAGAATCAACAATGTTGGGATGGAATTAAAGGCCATGAAAAGTGAGGAAAAAATAGACCACAGTTAGTTGATCTGAAATGAGTCTAAATTGACAGTCCTGGTGAATACAATCTTGGGCATTGAACAAACTTGTAAAAACCAATGATAACATCGGTAATATTTGAGAGCTGGAGAAAAAAGACAAGGAAAATGGGCCAAAGATTGGTGGGGATAGTTAATTTGTGGGGATAGTTCCTGAAACTACAGCTTAGTGAACTTGACATGCACTTCTGATCAAATTAAATGCAGTATTATAGAAATTTGACAAGTACAGAAAAATATAAAAAATAAAATCATAGTTAAAAAATGTGTAATCTTATCACTGAGATGACTTACTAAAGTACTGGTTTGTTTTACATATACATATATACACATATACATATACTGACATATATTTTTTGTAAAAATATTGATTCATATTTCAATTACATGACAAACTAAATATACAAAATTGAGATAATGAGCCACCGCGCCCGGCCTATTTTAGAAAAGTTTTATATTTAGCTGATTTTTAGAAAACTTGTTAAGTGGCTGAACAATTGTGTTCTGAGATATTCTTTTGGAAGCCTATTTTATAACGGTTGTATAACATTCTATCATATAAATATGTAATGATATATTTAACCATTTCCTAAGCATCAAACATTTAGGTAGAACATATTGTCAGAAAAGTGTTACATGAATATTTAGGAAACACAGCAATGAAATCCAGCATTCTTTTGCCAAAAAGTCATGTCAAACACACCAATTTTTAAAAAAAGGTTTGTAAGGTGGTAAGTCAAGGTAACAGTAGATAGTATATGTTGATTTTAGTAAACGACAAATTTTAGATATTCAGGTTAGATGAATAATTAGGGCAGAAATAAGTGCTTTTGGCTAATTCTCTACTGTATCCTCAGAGCCTAGCAATGCCTGGTATACAATAAATTCTCAATAAATTAATGAAGGAATAAATGAATATATAAATTTGTATAGACTTTCAGCAACCAATCTGAAGAAGGCAAATTAATAGATTTCTGGGTAAAGTCTAGCTCTACCACTTAATAGCTGTGTCACCTTGGGCAAGTCAATCTCTTTAAGTCTCATTTTCTTCATCTGTAAAATGGAATAATGGAATCTAAATCATGAGGTTTTATGATGATTATGTAAAAATATACATGAAAGGAGCTTAGCTTGGCTCCTGGCACCTCATAAAAGTTTACTGAATATTGGTAGTAGCAAGTAACAGTACTACTAGCAGCAGTAACGGTAACCATCAATGATTTAGAGGTACATACTTGGCCCTGCCTGCCTCATCAATTTTATTATTGACTTGGATGAAGTCCTAAATGTTGTGTTCATTAAATCTGAATCATACTATAGTAATACTAAAAAATAACGATATTAGAAGATTTTAAAGGTTGGAATAACAGGCCAAGTGACGAATATGGCATTTATTAAGATTAAAAATAAATGAGCTTAAAGTTCTAATTCATTCAACAATAATACCACAAAGACTTAGTGAGTGCCTATCATCTATCAGGCTACGATAAAGGATGAAAACCATGGTCCTAATTTTTAAGGAGCTTTCCATCTAGAGGGAATACAGAGTAACCCGACAATTGCAGTTTGTAGGATTACGGTTATAATACATTTCCACCCACGCCATAATGAGTGGAGGGCGGAGAGTCAATAGGACTTTACTCAACGGGAAATCTGGGTAGCAGTTAAAGGTAATTGGACATTTGAAGCCTCAGGAGTCAGTACGTAAGCACTGTGGATGTAGAAGGTTCAAAGGGGAAGGGTTCCCCATCAACATCAGAGTTCAAGAACACACTGTGAAAATCACTTGCCAGGGCTCAAGTGGAGAGATTGGAGTATCTAGTCTTTCTCGCCTTTCAACTCTAAGATTACAGGATTTCCATCCTTCTAGAGGATGCTGGGCTTGCTGACGGTAAAATGTGAGGATGAGGGAAGAAATCCCCTAAATTTATAGAGGAAATTGTGGTGGGGAGAAAGTGATGGTAGAAGCATCATATATCTGGAAAAATGGCATTTAAATTTTCAGGCTTGACTGGTAGATTGTGTTTAACCTGTTAAGAGGCCCTTGGGAAAGGTGCTTTTAAATTTAATAGACAAAATTCCACTTGAAACTCATAAAAACAGAACCAAAAAACTGGTACATCATCCCAGTAGATTAAACCATTCCACTTATGAACAATATAATGTCATCGTAACACTTAGTACATGCCACGAATATGTGAAGCAGGATATTGAACATAAAGATCTCCAGCATATTGATTCCACATCTCCTTATAAAATGTAACACTTACAGTATCTGCTTCTTTTCCATCAATCATCTTCAGATCATTCAAAGACCACTTTTTTGTTACTTCATATTTTTCATCTAAGCCTATCCTGTAGTGTTTCACCATGATTATTTTTACTTCTTCCTTTTTGGTCACTGTAGGACAGAAAAATACTTAGTTTACATAAATTCTTAGAAGCTAATAAATTATTCAAGTTATACTTTTTGGTATTTATGTATCCCCTTTTAATAAAATGACCTTGAACCTATATTACAGCTGCACCTCAATTGTGAGCCCTGATGTATCTGAATCCTCACAGTATGCACCCAAATTTGCTCAATGTATTAACTTTATTTTTGCTACAGTTGTGGTTACATACTGCCACAGTAATGTCTGTTAAATAGAACATTGAGCTGTGTGCTTTGAGCTCTGAGCATTGTGGTAGAGAATAGTGTTCACCTTGGGGCAGGAAATAAGAGGCTTAGCCTTAGCATACATTCAGTGCCAAGTGTTTATCAAAACAGGTTGGAATTTTAATTTATGACAATGTAAGAAAGTGAGGTCATGGAAGTAAACAGTACTGCTTTACAGCAACACAGTGTTGAAGAGTGAGTGACCAAACAAATACTGCAGTAACTATGGACACTTGCCTTTAAATTCGCTCTGAGACTTACAATGTAGAAATGCTTGCATCACAGCTACTGTTAACCTGCTTGGTATTGCTTGAGATTGTAATCCTCTCAAGTGTGTCTCTCAAATTCTAGTATTCAAAATGTGCCACTTGCACAAAAGGTTTTAGTACTACACTTTGAAAGATATGGGAATATTTTTGCTCATTTTGTGGGAACAAAATGAGGGAAATGCTTTTTTTGGTTTTAAAATTATTTGGTCTTATATATACACATCAGAAGAATCAATATTTGAGCATAGAGATCTTAAGTTGAAAATTATCAATGAGTTATTATAATAAAGGAGTGTTTACTGAGTATTTGCTACTCACGTGATAGAACTGTAATAGATGCCACAGGGGATACAAGTAAAAGACATGGTCCCTGCCCTCTAAAAATTTATGCTTTCATTGGTGAGACAAGGCTAACACACATGTCACACACAATAGCATATTATAAAGAGGTGGCAGGTGGGGATTGAATGCCTAGGATTTCCCTTCAAGATGAGTAATGTCACTTAGAGAGTTGGAAGCTGGTTCTGTCTTCTAAGAGTGACTCTGGAATTTTTTCTTGGGGGGCGGGGAAGACTCTCTCTTGGTTCTGGAAAGCATCACTTTGACATGCTCTCCCAGCTCTGTAGACATGAAACAATACATCACAGTATAATCGTAGTGAAAGATAAGTAATGTGGAGCAGACCAAATGTTCAATGAGTTCTGAGAAGGGAAAGGATTGGAGTAGTTAAGGCAGGAATTACAAATGAAATAGAATTTGAGATAAGGCTTAAATTTTGAAAAGACAAGGGTCATACTGCAGACATTTCTAGGTGAAGGATAGCATGTGGAAATGCATCAGCAACAGAAGTTAACATCACCAGGTAGAATTAAAGAAAGTGCACTGCATGGGTTGGTTGATGTTAAGATTTGTGGGCAATAGGATTCACTAGGTACAGAAGGTTGTGAAAATGTTTTGAAGGACTCTGGATTTGAAATGCAACATAAACCACTTTGGACCTGTGTCTGAATTCTCTTTTCTGGATGGAGAGATGTGAGGCTGACCTATTATAGTAAGGGCTCTAGAATTGGGTCTAGCAAAGGGAGCATCCATTGCCTGAAGGTGCTAGTGATACTGAAATCAAGGCAGCCAGTTGAGCTGAGAGTTGATGATGGAGCTCAGTCCTCAGGAGAAGGAGTGGGAGCAGTCTGACAAATCTCAGAAGAAGGCACTGTGTTGGGTGGTCAGTGAAAGCTCATGTAGCAATACCTGTTTGTTAAGTCTCCCTCCTTCTGTAGCAAAAGGCTAATAAAATGGTGCCCTATTAAAGAAGAAATTTTTCTGGCAGCAGTGATGTACAGAATACCTGGGGGAAGAAATGAAAGAGGAACTGGAGGACCCTGGAAAATGCAGTGCAGCTTAGTGAGTTCTGGCACTAGACATTCTGGAGTTAAATCACGACACCACCTCTGAACAGCATAGTCTGAGTAAATGATTTAATCTCTAAAGAGTTTAAACCTCAGTTTTCTTATGTTGTAAAACAGACATCAGAATGATACAAATTCATAGGGTGTAAAGATTAAAGTAGACAAAATATATAAAGAACTTAAGATAGTGCCTGGTTTACAGTAACTGTTAAAAATGTTTTGTTTTGTTTAAGAGGCTGTTGTAGTAACCTGGGCATGGGATGTGGGTCATGGATATAGAAGTAGAAAATCCAAGTAAGATTTTAAATAACACTGGATGGAAATAACACTGGATGAAAACCAAACACTAGACACAAACCCAAATAGGAAAGTAGAGAGGGTGAGTTGGTTGGGTGGAAAAATGAGTTTTGTTTTTGACACACAGATGAAGTAGCCACAAATTATCTCAAAAGAGAATGAGATGGAAGTTTTGTAGTTTACGAATGGAGATACAGACTTGGGTTTTTTTGTGTGTGGAAAAGTTTCCAAGGGCAGTTTTTTGTTGTTGTTGTTTGTTTGTTTTTCATTTTGAGAGAGGGTCTCACTCTGTTACCTAAGCTGGAGTATAGTGGCATGATAATGGCTCACCGCAGCCTCAACCTCCTGGGCTCAAGCATACTTCCACCTCAGTCTCCTGAGTAGCTGGGACTACAGGAATGCACCACTATGCCTGGCTAATTTTTTATCTTTTTTTGTAGAGATGGGTCTCACTGTATAGTGATAGTGATAGTGGTCTCAAACTCCTGGCCTCAAGCTATGCTCCTGCCTCAGCCTCTCAAAGTGTTGGGATTATAGGTGAGAATCACCATGCCTGGCTCCCAAACCAAATTTGTAGAGAAAAGAGCAGAGGAAAGAGGTGAGAGAAAGTGAGAAGAAGAATAGATGCCAAGAAAGACGTCTGAGAGACAGGCCCAGGTGTGTAATGCTATGGGAATCAAGAGAATCGTGAAGTTTAAAGGTTTGGAGACTATCCCATGAAGTCCCTTTACTAGGTAAGGCAGAGTTCAGCCCTAGCACTGAATCTGACTTGGAAGAAGATCATGAATTTCCTCCATGAGGGCAGTTTCTCTAGAATGCTGAGGGCAGAAGACTCCTTCTGCAGAGGACTCCTTCATGCACCAACACTATTTGAGTGCACATTGTGTGCCAGCCTCAAGGTTAGGTAGGATTTACAAAGATAATAGGAATGAAGACTAAAGGCTATGATTGAGATCACATATTCCAGGAGTTTGGAAAAGGAGGGATTGTACATTTTGGAGGCAGAGGAAGTGACTAAGGCACACCTTCTGGAGAGGACCTCAAGCAGAATATCTTAACTTGGGGTCAATGAGCTAGTTTAGAATCTGTGATCCCCCTGACAGTGTGCCAAAGTTGGTGGGCTTCTGTCAATCTATCCTTCTCTAGCACTAAAAAGTTCTATCTCCACTGATGTAGATGCTAGCCTTGGGAAGATGAAAGGACTAAAAGTAAAGCTATTAGGCAGAGGTGGTGAAGTGGAGGCACACTTGAATCTGTCATGCTTACTAAGGACAAGATCTTGGAGACATTCTCCTCCACCAGGAGGCAGTTGTATGCCCAGAAAGAAGCTGTACCTCATAACCAAAGGACTATGTTCTTGCTCCAGCTCGCTGTCTCACATGCTGCTTAGCGGGTGGGAGAGAATGGGGTTGGGGAGGTATGGAAAACGTATTTTCACTGAGCAAATTCCACTGCCTCGTCTACGTGTTATGATAAGCATGTTATGGTCATCTGTAGGCCACTCATTCATCTCATTAAATTGATAAATATTTGAGTGCCCTTTTTATACCAAGCACTGTGTTAGGAATTGAAAACATTAATTCTCATAAGGCATCATTCCTGCTGTCGCTGAGATTGTAGGGAGTGGGGTCTTCAGAAAGAAAACCCGTGCTCACAGTTCTGCAAAGAAGAAATAGACAAAGTAATTAAGGAACGTGGAGGAAGGATGTCTTCATCCAAGTGGGGGTCCGGGAGAGCTTCCTGAGAGAGGTAACCTGAATTGTAAAGGGCAGTAGAAGTTAGCAGAATGAAGATGCGGTAAAGGTAGTTCTAGGAAAGCATTCACACAAAGGCATGAAATACTTGACATTTTAAAGTCATTAAAAGCATCTGGTACTGCTGGCATGAGGTTTGAGGGTGGACAGGTGGAAGGGAACAAGTTAGGCAAGACTAGTCCCTGAGGAGTCTAGAATATCAGGCTGAGAAGATCAAAGGTTATTCTGAAAGCCATGCATTTATCTGTGTAAGAGAGAGAAGTTGTCACTGAAGGATTTAAAGTGAATGGACAGACTGAGCTTTTAAATTTCAGAAATTTCTTTTGGGACCTTCCATAAAGGATAGGTTGGAGGTGGGGAATGGAGAGAAGAGACGTGAAGAAGGTGAGTCCTATAAGTCATCACATTTTCTTATATTAATGGTCAGTGTCCCATTAACACCAAACTAAGAAAATAAAAAAGCATTCTTTAAAAGTTAACCTTTTGACAAAACAGCTTCCTTTGTAGCTAAGGAGGCTCCAAGAATTGTCTTTAGCCACAAGCCAAAGAAGTCTACTCAGCCTGGAGTCAACCCAATCCCTAATTTCCACACTTGAGCTTTGCTGCCAGCTAAAATTAAATGGCCGTATCCACATTAATGCAGTGGCAAAGTGGAAACCTATCACATTGTCTTAAAACAGAAATGTGTTTATATAATCAAAATGTTAGGGAGTTGTTTTCAGTTACATCAGAGTTTCCGTTATTGAATTATGATTTAGTGAATAATATCTACAGAGTAAGGGAACTTCAGAGTTAATCTGCTCTAGTTTTAATTTTAATCAGCATTTTCAGAATTATAATTTTAACTTCATGCCAATCACTTTATTTTCACTTTAAATTTTAAAATAAACTTTGTCATTAATAAATGCCTCTGTTACCATGATAAAATAGTCACTATTATTCATGAGGCTAAATGGAAGGAACATTGCCCGATTGATCCAATATAATTTGGCAGAATAGAAGAAAACAGTAGCTCA